AAAGCTTTGCACCAGCAATCAGCAGATCGTTGGTGCCAGGCAGACCTCCTGCAGACTGTCAGTGTAATCTGTGTGCCCGTACATCTTACAGGCAGGCAGTTTTACACTGACGGGAAGAATCAATGAACTACCAGAGTGCAGAGAACTACAAGCCGACAGCCGCACAGGCTGTTGGTACTTTTAGTTAATTAATTCACAGTGATAATTGAATCAATGAAGCATCCGTGTGGGCGGAGCCCCGCAGGGCCTTGCTCTCTTTGAGTTTTGGCAGCAATAAATAATTACACTCGAAATATGGGTGTAACATGTTCAGAAAGGTGAATTTATCCTTTAATCTGAAACACAGGCAATCATTAAAAGATAAAGAATATGCATACTTTTGATTAAAGCAGTTGCTGAAAATGTTTCGACAGCTGAGAGTTTAATACCACTTTTAAATATATTAAAGTAGAACTAACATTTCACAAAAGTTATTTTTTTATAGTTGTCACAAAAACAGTTACTGGAAGGGAAAGCTTAAATGGGGATACCTGTTCCGTTGACAACTTTCCTTTTATGCCTCCTGGAAAATCTCTCCTGTACAACACAGACAGAAAAATCTACCCACCGTGGGTTCTTCTTACCATTCCCTACTCCCTCCAATAGAACATGTCTATAGATATACACATTTACACTGTCTCAAAGACAAGCAGATTCTGTTTGGGTTGAAATTCGTAATGTTTGTTTCTGAGGATTTACACTAGTCAGCTGCCAACAAAGGAATGCTTGATCCTCAAGAATGTGAAACATCAAAATACAAATAAGTATTTGTGAATAGCATTTGAATGAAAAATAGAGGCTGCCTAAGATTTTGAGTCTGAACTTTGCAGTCATTGTACTAAACAGCTTCTCTTTACCTGCATTGGAATTTTTTGATATGCTATTACATTTGAAATCCTTTGAGTTTAGGTAATATCAACTTATGTATGGCTGTTATGGATTTTACAAATGATACATAATAAAATGTGGACTTTTTATTGGTTGCAGGTGCTAATGACTTGTTTAATGCAAAGTCCTATACAAATGGGTAGTTGAAGATACCGAGCTTGACAGGTGACATATGGAGCTGTGTATGCTGGATCAGCTGTCACTAAATACTTTTAAAACAATAGTATTGGTAAAATTCAAACTAAAAAAAGTCGTAAAAAAGTAAAATGTTTTTTCATTTCCTATGAAGATAGGTGTTATTTTATGCAATGAACATTTAAAAAAAAGTTCTCTTTATGTATTCTTAAATCAGAAAAGTACCTTCTATTGCTCTCACCCTCCTCCTAATTCCCTTTTTTCTGCTATGATCTGACTTTCTGTTGGAGGGTGGCTACATTTATTCTCCATGGTCCTACTTTATGTGCTATGGACTATGGGATTTTTGTAGTGTGCATAGAGTACATGAACACAGTACACTTGAACACAACTAATATGCACTGCCAAACAAAGAGAAGAAGTTCGGGAGCTCAAGGGAGGACATTACAAAGAGGCAGAAAAACACAGTGAAAAACTATTAAGTACCTGTAATAAAGAAATAAATATTTCACAAAAAATGGATGACAGGGCCATGAAGCAGTGGAGGTGTATGGTTTGTTTTTGGAAACTAAGGATAGTCTTTAGTGTCACTTTAACGACTTGTTCCCAACAGGTCCATTGCTCTGCCTTGATCAACACAGACTCAAAAAAAGACACCAAAAACGTAATCTATGTGCCCTGTTTTACACCATGCGTCAATGTGCATTGCATAGGGTTGCCAACTCATCCCTTTAAACCCGAACACATATTAATTACACAGGTTCTGTGGATGATCAAGGTGGTAATTAAACTCACTTAGTGCCTTATCTGCATTAAATTAGCCTCAGATCCCTGTGCAATAATATGTGTTCAGGTTTAAAGGGATGAGGTGGCAACCCTAGCATTGCATAATAATGCAGCATGTTATACAATGCATAAAAACATGTTACAATGCGTGGTGCTGTATTGTGCTGTTGTGAAATGAGTTAAACAAAGTGTTTTTTTTTTATTGTAACTTTAAATAAAGTTTTGAAAAAGAAAAAAAATAACACTGTGAAGTGTTGTAACAATGCATGGGAGTGTGTGTGTGTCATATGTGCTCCATAATGTGCACCAGCTGGTGTGAACAAACCCATTCACTAAAGCTGGCCATACATTATACAATTTTCTTTAGAATTTTACTTTAAATTTACCAAAAACCATATAATACGAGGTCAAACCTAAACAAGACTTGTATCCAATTAGGCAGGACCCTTGCACTAATAGTTGAAGGTAAATCTAAAGGAAATTGGGCAGAAATTGGACAGAAAATTGTATAGTATATGGCCAGCCTTAGGCTGCATTCACACTTGAGCATTTTGTAGCTTGAAGCTCGAAGTTTCAAAAAAGCTCAAACAAAAAAATCATTTGTTCTCTATGGTGCCTGTTTACACCTGATCGCGCGAACAGACCCCATAGAGAACAATTGATTTTTTAAGTTGGAGCATTTTTGGAGCTTCAAGCTACAAAACACTCAAGTGTGAATGCAGCCTTAGAGTACAAGGCAGGAAGTTGAAGCTGCATGTTACAAAACATCTACTACCACAATGTAAATGTGGAAATTATTAAAATAAGCTCTCATTAGCCTACCAGAATCCATATAGGAAGCTCCAATGTACCCCATAATTCTTTGTACCTTCTGTCCACTTAAGAACGTGTCCTGGATCAAACCCTGGACTGCAATTGTAAGCCATTTGCATTTTCTAGTTGAGCCACTTGGAATTAATATTTTAATTATTCTTAAAGAAGTTCTGAGGCCTACCTTTTTAATCTCTTTATCTAACTAAACCCATATTTAAATCTATAGGATTTAATGACACCTTAATAAACAAGATGGTACCTGATGTCAGCTTACCTTGAACTGCTTCTCCATGTGTCCTGCCATTCACTGACGCTGTACCCAAAGTGGTGGCCCACCAGCGCTCTGTGCTCTCACTACACCCCTCTCCATCATTAGCTCAAATATTGACTGGGTGTTAATGAGCTTCCAGTTTATGTCCAATGTAATCACCATCAAGCCAGAAGGCAGCGCTGAATTATACTGTGTCCCTGAAGGATGGGAATTTGGATCTGTGAGGGTTTACTACTTTATGATCCACAAGTTTGCTTACTCCTGACTGTGCCCTGAAAAAAGGTCAGCGATGGTCAGATTAAAGTAACCGGATGACCAAGTTTTGCATTAATTGTTTCCAATCATTTCAAAGTGGGCCCTTTAAAGGTTCTGTTTTTCACGTTTGAGGCTGTTGACATGCAGTCTTAAAGGAAAGCAAAGGTTTCTATTTAGGGTTTAGCTTCATGTAGCACTACCCCTTAGGAGTCACTAGAATATTTGGGTCCCCCTATAGTCCTGCACAGCCAGGCATCACATATCTTCAAAAAGGCTTGCATCCAGAGTCAGAAATCAGTCCTTGAGCTTTGGTTTTGTTGTTTTATTTAGGGGATTTTAACTGGCATAGGGTGTCCAGGATGCCCAAGGGTACTGATAAACTGAGGACAACTTCCTTAAATTTTGGGTCCCCCTGTAGTCCTGTACAGCCAGGCAACACACATTTTTCACAGACTTGTGTTCTGGAGACAGTAAACAGTCATTGAGCTTGTTTTTTAAGTTTTATTAGGTTATTGTATTGAACTTGGATAGGGTTGAGGTGTGTATGGGATGCCCAACGGAACTGCAAATGAGGACCATTCCTTAGCAACTATGTACATGTCTCTGTACAGAAAAAAAAAGATTTCTTCCTGGAGAGCTCTCTAGCCTCTCCTGATGGACCATCCCAGAGCCCAGGTGAATCCTCTCCTCATCCAGCTGTACTGGGTGAATCCCTGGGCAAAGGGACCCAGAATCTTTCACTTTAGATCAAACAGTCCAAAATGGGGCTAGTCAGGTTTCCCACCTGCACTTTCCTCTTATCCAGCCCTCTTCTGTGAGTTTGTTGAGTTGGTGGCTTCCTTCATACCTTCTGCTGGTCTGGCTCCTTTCCTGCTGCATGGGTGGTCCTCTCTCAGGGGACTCCTAAGGTTGAAATATCTTCTTTTCCAGCAATTCTGCCTGGAGGTAGGCCACTTCCCACTGGGCCCCTTCCCAGGCTCCTGCATCTCAGCCTGTTACTTCTTCTTCCACCCAAACTCTCCTGCCACTGAGCATGCTCAGTCACACTTAAAGGCTGCCCTGGCCCCAAGCCAAGCTTCCTGCTTGGGGATTGGCCAGAGTCCCTTAAGTGTTCAGACCAGCCACTCCTCACCCCCACCGAGTTCTAGAGACTTCTCCAAGTCTCTACATCAGAAGGAGATATCAGGGAACTGCCCTGCAGAGCCCTCAGCCCTGACCTAAATTGACTTGGCTGACTTACACCAAGGCGGACTCATGCCCAGACTGCTACTCAGCATTTCTCACTGAAAAAACAATCTAGCTCCCCCTGGCTATCTAGAGGCGTGCTACATTCACATTAGGGTTAGTGCTTGGATTGGGGTCAGCATTAGGGTTAGCCTTAGGTATAAGGTTCCACAATATCTAAGGTCATGTTCCCATCTAAAGAGGGATGGTTTACAGCATTAAAAAGGTCAAAAGGAGCTTTCCTAACCTTCAGGATGTGTTGAAAGGGCTCTTAAAAATAGCCAAATACAATGACAACATTTTCCCAAAGTGTTCCAATTTTTTTTACAAAATTTTGCTAATGTGAAAGTTCCCAATTCCACTTATTCTAAAAGCCAACAAATTCTTAAATCTCTTTGCAGCTAATAGATTTATTCATCAATGTGACCCTAGCCTAAGGATCTATGTCAATAGGCTTCTGCTTGCAGCAGAGCTGCTTCTCCCTATACAAGCCAATGGAAACTCAAAAAGCAGCTTAAAGCGAAGTTCCACTCACCCTGTCAAAAAATAAAAGTCAGCAGCTACAAAAACTGTAGCTGCTGACTTTTAAAAAACAGCCACTTACCTGTCCCTCGGTCCCACAGTGTGTCCCCCGCAGCCCGTTTCACCGGCCATCCTGTATTCCAGTTGGCCGGCATATTTAGTGTGGGTACCCGGCTGTGACAGCTTGCGGCTTCACAGCCGAGTACCCACTGCACATGCGCGAGTAGCGCTATGCTTCATAAATGGTCCTGTTGTCTTCTGGGACCTGTCACGTGTCCCAAAAGACTACAGGGAGGGAGGGAGGGAGGGAGGGAGGACCTTCCGCTTCCGATTGCCTAGGTGATCAGACCGGAAGTAGGAGCGGGTACCTGTCAGATTCGGGTACCCACCCCCCAAAGGTGCCAATCCTTAATGAGGAGCGAGGGAACAGTCCTTAAAACGGAACTTCCCCTTTTTGATGGAGCTCCGCTTTAACACAAGTTGATGCAACTTAGGAGGAGGTCAAAATGAGATCAATTCTACCTGTCAATGAATGATCTTAGAAGCATAAACGTATGTCAGATGCAAGTGAAATTCCCCTGAAAGCACACTGCATTTGCTTATAGACACAGGTCCAAAAAGGCATGCTCCATCCTCTAAGTGACTTAAAATGGAATGTTTCCACCTTGCGTCGTCCAGTCCAGTATACACATCACCCAGATCCTCTCCATCTCCATCAAGCTGCAGCAGTCTACGATATTTCCATGACTGCACTCAACTCCGCTCCTTTCCACTCTCTCCCTCTCCCCATTGCCTGTTCTGCCCTTTTCACTAGAATGTCACTAATTGTCTAGACAACTTTTGCTTTTTTTAACCAAAACACCTATAGCCGGAAGATGTTTTTCCCAGACCAATGCCTGCTCACCAATCCTCTGTAAAATGAGAGGTGGCATCACTTGGGCTCCTCTTCTGATCTGACAGGCTGTTTAAAGGGTACCTGTCAAGGTACACAGGAGAAGAAGCTGTTCTTCGAACAAAACCAAGAATGGAAGCTCTTGATTCACTTGGGGCTAGCGCCACTACTGCAGCATGAATCACTCTATGCCTCCTGGGATAATGAGGGCACTGGTCCCCCATTGAATTATTAGACTAAATATTGGTTTGTCCACAGTTTAAGGCTGCTTTAAGGGCATTGTGCAACCTTAAAGCAGACATTTATTCATAACAGCTTGAAAAAAATAATGTTCTTTAGCGAGGAACGTACATTTCCCATTACTAATTATGCTACCAAAATTAGTGTGTGCTGATAATTGCCTCCAGCATTGTTCCTGTTTCTTCTTGTTAAAGGCTGCCATTTTGCTGAAGCCCAGAGCCCCTGAGCAGCAGTAAATCTTTGTTCTGTCAGCAGATTGACCTTTACTGGTTCTAATTTTAAGCACAGTGTCGATAATAGAGAACAACTGAGCATGTGCAGAGCAGTGTGAGACAGTGTATTACTGTGTTTTAAACAGTATAGGCCAGGGGTGGGCAAACTTTTTGACTTGAGGGCCGCAATGGGTTCATATATTGGACCCGGGGGCCGGACCAAGAGTAGATGAATGATGTGTATGTGTCATCCATAGTAAGTATAGTAATATTCCCCCATAGTAAGCATAGTAATTAATCCCCCATATAGTAATTCATCCCCCATAGTAATTCATCCCCCATATAGTAATTCATCCCCCATATAGCAATTCATCCCCCATAGTAATTAATCCCCCATATAGTAATTCATCCCCCATATAGTAATTCATCCCCCATAGTAATTCATCCCCCATATAGTAATTCATCCCCCATAGTAATTCATCCCCCATATAGTAATTCATCCCCCATATAGTAATTCATCCCCCATATAGTAATTCATCCCCCATATAGTAATTCATCCCCCATATAGTAATTCATCCCCCATAGTAATTCATCCCCCATATAGTAATTCATCCCCCATAGTAATTCATCCCCCATATAGTAATTCATCCCCCATATAGTAATTCATCCCCCATATAGTAATTCATCCCCCATATAGTAATTCATCCCCCATAGTAATGCATCCCCCATATAGTAATTCATCCCCCATAGTAATTCATCCCCCATATAGTAATTCATCCCCCATAGTATTCATCCCCCATAGTAATTCATCCCCCATATAGTAATTCATCCCCCATAGTAATTCATCCCCCATAGTAATTCATTCCCCATAGTAAATAGTAATTCATCCCCCATATAGTAATTCAGCCCCCATAGTAATTCATCCCCCATATAGTAATTCATCCCCCCTATAGTAATTCATTCCCCATATTAATTCATCCCCCATATTAAGTCCCCAAGTCCCCCCTGTGTCAATTCACTTACCTTTGCTCCGCGCGATCCTCTCGCCGTGTTCCCGCGCCGTTCCGGTCTTCAGGCGGACTGTGAAAGGAGCCTAGCTCCCTTCATGTTCCTCACGCTGCCCCGCCTACACACATTCTGACAGCCGATGTTTGCCACGCTCCGCGGGCCGGATTAAAAGGTCCGCCGGGCCGTAGTTTGCCCATTGCTGGTATAGGCACTTATTTTTAATGTTTTACATAGCTATACCTGCAAAAGGGGCCAGCCTGAAGTGATCTATCAGGGCTTACTTTTCTGATTAAAGTTCCACTTTAACCACTTCCCGTCCGGCCTATGTAGATAAACGGCCGGACGGGAAGGCTGCCGAAGTGGGTTGACGTTTCTAAACGTCACCTGCATTCATTGCCTGTGTGCACTCCTCGGGAACAACGATTGCTGTACGGGATCTCTGTGTGAGGTCCCGATTCATGTGATCACTGATTGGCCAATCAGTGATCACATGAACAGTAGTAAACAAGATGTCACTTCCTGACATCATTGATTACTACTTGTGAAATCTGTGAATGATCACAGAGATCACATGGTACAAGGCTATTCACAACAGTCTTATACCATGTGACAAGCTGTGACCAATAACAGCTCTCACAGTATTTCTCAATGGCTTCAAGAATGCAGCCAGAGAGAAGGAGAAAATTATTGCTTTTACAGCCTTTAAAAGCAATCAGTGTAAAAAAAGAAAAAAAAAATCTTCATTACCCTCCACAAGTAGTACAGTGTCACTATACTGCTAGGGTGACAGTATGTTAAAAAAAAATAAAATAAATAATAAAAATGTAAAAAAAAATTTTTTAAATTATCATTTTTGGTTATAAACTAATTTGTTTTTTGGGGTTTTTTTTTTACTAAAAAGATAGATGAATACATTTTGGCCAAGATTTTATGAAGAAAGATTATTTATTTGCAAAATTTTATAAAAAAAACACCTTTTTTTTCAAAATTTTTGGACTTTTTCATTTATCGGTATATAGCAAAAAAATAAAAAATCCCAGTGGTGAATAAATACCGCCAAAATAAAGTTTTATCTGTGTCAAAAAAATGCTAAAGAATTCATATGGGTACAGTGTTGCATGACCGCGCGCAATTGTCATTCAAAGTGTGATAGCACTGAAAGCTGAAAATGGGCCTGGACTGGAAGGGGTTGAAAGTGTCCGGACTTGAAGTGGTTAAAGCATAAGCTCACCTTTCCAGAAAAAATAAATGCACATATTTTAGAAAAAAAAATGTGCATTTATTATTTTTTCCTGCAGGAGCTTGGAAAGCATTGCACCTCTGATCAGTGGATCAGGGATGCAATGTTAGGTTTCTGCAGACAAGCCATGCAGCTTTCAGGCCGTACCTCCTTATGGGCTGTCAGTTTGAAAGCTGCAGGGCTTGTGAATGAACTACAAGAGTGCTCCTCAGTGCCCTCGCAGTTCATTCAGAACCAAAAGCCGTCAGCTGCGATGGCTGACGGTACTTGTAGTTCATTCATTCACTGGAAACTGTGAATGAATGACATGGCTGTGTGGGCAGAGGCCTGCATGGCCGTGCTCTTTTTAAAAAGTGACAGCGTCTGCAGGGAGAAGATCCCCCACCCTCTGTAACACTGAAGAAGGTTTGGCGGAACTGGCGGCAGGAGCTAGAACATGTTACATGTTCCAAAAGGTGACCTTAACCTTTAATATACCAAAGCCAGAAGATGTCACCAAGACAGAAAGGTATGGAAAAAACCCTAAATTTTACAGTTGTCACTAGAACAGAAGGTGAGGTGAAATCTTCCAATATAGACACATGTTCTGTTGAAGGGAAATTTCCCTCACTTTACAGAGAGCTACGTTGTGTCTCTGAGACAGGAAGTGAAGGGAAGTTTCTCCAAGGGAACAGAAACAGCAACAACAACAACAGGAAAAAATCCTGATGGGGTTTTAACATTCCCAACCCAAAACAAAACTAAATTATTGTTTAAAATTCTTTTTTCACTCATTCTGCAGTTGACAAGATCATCTCCATGTAGGACAGAGATTTGATGAGACATGGCAAAGTTTTTTTGGTCTGCAAAAAAAAACAACTTTTGCCTTTAGATAGACTTGAGGCTCCTTGCATATGGGCTCATCAAACTGCAGTGCCTCCCTCCTGGCGTTTTAGTGGTGCCCGAAATTTGGGTCCTGTACATTCAGAGATGAAGATCTGAAACACAGGTCTTTGGTACAACATTCATCCCCACCAAGCCTCAGCCTGCCATAGACTTTGAAAGGTTGCCTGCAACAGGATTGATGCTGCACTTTTCCCTCACTATAACTCCAGGAGGGACACACTTCAGCTGGATGGCCTCCTATGCAAGAGGCCTGAATGTTTTAAAATTCTTCTTTCTATGTGTACTTTCTGACTACACACATACAGAGCTTTCTGTCAGTGGGAAGGCGGGTGAATGCAGTTCCAGCACCTCCAGCACACTGACTGTATGTAATGGCAAAGGATGCTGGGGTGTGCTGGAGGGTCTGTTGATGCTGGCTGCTGGGGGATCTATTGTCACTCATGGGAATCTATTTTTGCATGGAGGTCTATTGTTACTTGGGGGGGTTATTTTTTGCTGGGAAGGATCTCCTGTTGAGGGAAGAGTCTATTGTTGCTGGCTGCTGGACAGCCTATTGACGCTGGCTGCTGGGAGATCTGTTGTTGCTGCTGTGGGTCTTTAATTACTGGGGTGGTATTTTGTTGTGAGGGGTTCATTGTTGCTGGGGGGTCTATTGTGCGGGGGGGGGGGGTTGGTCGATTGTTGCAAGGGATCTACTGTATTTTACTGCTTTTCTTGTTATCATTAACACATTTATATACAAATTACCACAAAACACCACACCACAAAATGATACTTGGTTCTGTATTTTCTAAAAGGGGCAAAACTAGGAGGTGCGTAGGTGGTGGAACCAAGGGATAGTGCTTGGAGGTGGGTAAGGGGTGACTCAAAAGATGGGGAGCTCCTGAACCTATTCTCTGAGAAAATGTAGCCCTGCACACACATTTAGGGCAGTTATATTTGCTCCAGGGGAGGACTGACAACTCATGGGGCCCCCGGGCAATAGGGCATCATGGGGCCCCTGTGTCCTTGCCCAAACTCAAAAAAGCCTATGAAAAAGGTACCAGGGGCATCTCATGGGACCCCCTACTGACCCCGGGCCCTCGGGCAGTGCCCAAGTTTCCAAATGGTCAGTCCACCCTGATCTGCTCTTTAGATTTACTGGTGACTCAAAGTGACTCCTAATCTGCATACTTCTTCTGGTCAGTGACTCAGGAAATACTGAAATCCCTGCATCAGAAGGACAGCCAGACAATTAGCATTTTCCAAATCTGAGGTCACAGCTAGCAGGTGGCCTCTCTCAGTACATTTGGAAAGAATTTTGCAGCTGGCAGTCAGGTTTTAGTTGCACTTCTGTGGGGGTCTGAACAATATCAAACTTTGTGCAGAATTCCAGGCGAAGAGCCGCCCTGTACTGTCGGGTGTTGTGTGACAATATTCCCCTGACCCCCCCCCCCCCCACAGCTCCCCTCCTACCACGCCGCAGCTCGGCAGCTCAGCCAGTCGGCTCTGTCAAATCAGATTATTTCTGCACCAGTAGGAAAACCTTTAAAAATAAACCAGCTTCTTTTCTTATAGCGCCAACATAACGGACAGAATAAAACCAGGACAGGATGGGAATATTAACCTGTCCCCCACCAAGCAGCTGCCTCTCACTGGGCTCCCATTTATTGTGCCACTAATAAGCTTTACGCCCTTCAAAGGTCAAGAAAGAGCAGCCCGAGAAGCACATATGTGCCCATAGGTCTGCTCACCTAGTTAGTGCAGAGATCTCACCAATAGAGGCCCCAAGCAATAGAAGAAGCTATCAGGGATTTAAGCAGATGTGAACCCAATAGCTAAAATGTAATATAAGTTTTAATATGCAGTTTTAAAAGTAATTTTCAATATTTATAAATCTACAGCTTTCAAAAACATATCTGGTGACCCTGCCATAAAGGCCCTTTATTACACATCTCCTTTTAAAGGGTGACAACACTCCATCTATGTCTCCCAATTGTTCACATGCGCTGTCACCCTATCACACGCTCTCCCATTAGAGACTTCAAGGAGACTTGCAGTACACAGAAATGGTCCACTATTGTCACCCTTGGGAAACCCACTCAGAGACTGCCGGAGATCAGCAGCATTGCGATGGAAAAAGCAATGAAATGGCAGCAGGGGCGGACTGACAACTCATGGGGCCCCCGGGCAATAGGGGATCATGGGGCCCCTGTGTCCTTGCCCAAACTCAAAAAAAGCCTATGAAAAAGGTACCAGGGACATTTCATGGGGCCCCCTACTGACCCCGGGCCCTAGTTTCCAAATGGTCAGTCCGCCCCTGAACGGCGGTAAAAAAGTGTATATTATTTCTTGATGGACTTTAACTTGAACCTTTAAGAGATCTTTGTTGAGGCTTATCCTGCAAATATTTACCGATACATTGTATCAGCAAAGTTATTAGGATGACATTTGTTTTTGCGGTATAATTTTGTGTTAATGATAGGTACTCAAGTGTCACTAAGCCCTGGTTCACACTGTTGCGATGTGGAATTTGTTTTCTGTGAGAATTCCGCACCGCATCAGAATCACACCCCATTCATGTGAACCGCCACGGGTGTGTATGTTAACAACACCCCGAAACCAGTCCGCAAAAACGCGGTGCGATGTGCAGATTCCGATCACATGAATGTGAATGCCCATGTGATCCGATTCTAGTGCAGACCAAAAAAAGGGTCCTGCACGTTTTTGGTGCGGGTGTGGTGCGAATAGAGCCATACAAAATGTATGGCTTCAATCGCACCGCACAAAAATCACAAGTGATTTGCACAGGATTGCGGTGTGGTTCCTGTGCGAATCCCATGCGGTATACCGCACCGCACACGTGTGAACCCAGGCTGACTGCCGTAATGACATTTCTTTCTTTATAAGTGAGGAGGCTTCAAGACAGACAACTTGTGAGGAGACGGAAAAGTGACATAACGGGTGACAATTGCCGAACAAACAGAGACAGTTGCGAGGCTGAATGCTCCAGGGTGAAGAGCCCAATGCCACAGCCCCCTCTGACGGTTCGGGGCCCTGATGGAAATTTAGAGCCAGCTGACGCTTCTTGGCTAATGGAAAATGTTTAAGTTTGGCAGGCTGGTAGAGATGACGTGAGAGGAGCTATTAATACACAATGCCCAGCTACCGCCACGAGGCAAATAACGAGCGTAGCAAAGAGGAAATCACAATGTTCAGTACGGGGCCAGCCTGTCCCCTCCCACACACTCCCCATTCAGAAATTCAGACTTGGCTGTGACCTCTAAATAAACAATATATTGCTGTGTTTAATGTGCATGAGTGGCTCTAGAAAGCAGAGAGGGCAGCTGGCCCGGGGCTCCAACCTCAGGGGGCTCCTGGAAATGTTGCAGCAGTCAAAAATGAATGTTAAGGTTATTGACTCTGACAGCTGTTGGGTGACAGTTAATAGAAAGCAATGACTGGAGCCAATATCTACAGTAACAATTGTAAAATAAATTCCAAGAACACTTTTTTGATGGCCTATTTTTAAAAAGAACTAGTCTTTAGTGGTCTTAGACAAGACTATGAATATTTGGTGTTCAAGCAAACCTGTAATTTGCTCTGGTGCTGCTGGGGAGGTCTGTGTTACTGCTGAACTCC